TACCCAGGGCTGTTTTTTCGGAGCTTTCCCAGTGGAAACGGTAGAGGGCGCTGCTGCCCCACATTACAAATCACGTGCATTTCAGTTTTCTAATAAACCGCTGTGCAGAAATGTGACACATTTGAGCTCTGCCCGATTCTCATCCTACAATAATGAAACAATGCACAAAAACAACACCAGAGGGAAAAAAGTGAAAGGAAATCAAGAGCCTTGCCTGCAACAGAAACGAATAATAACACATGTTCAAATTAATGCGGTTTTTAATAAACATTTTTATGGGGATGATGAATGCGAAATAAAGTGAATGTCAAACGGCTGGGCTAAGACTTGCCGCCTTTAATGGCTCGTGGGTTAAACTCTCCTGCTGCGTCTCATTGCCCGGGGCTCTGCTCTCTCTTCTAAAGGCACCAAAACCCAGAATACTTTGAAACAAACCAAGGCGTTTCAAGCCTCCAGACTTTCCAAGCCTCATTATCCTCACACAAGGCTGCTATTTTCCATTGCTTATGCTACTCAGGTAACTGCAAAGCTTTGGAGACAAAGACATTTTTATTAGAGAGCAAGTGATAGAAGCTGGGACTTACAGAACATCACAACTGATAAAACGGGACGGCTCCTCATGGACGAACAAGCCCCACCAGCCGGTCAGTCCCACAAAGTCAAGCAGAGGAGAAGGAACGTCCCTGAATACTCAGACCTCGGGGTTCGTGTCGCCTGATGGGAGTGACTTTCGTGTCTCCTCACGAGAAGATGTATACACCTAGAAGACATATTCCGCCTACAGAGCGCACCATCTCTCATTTTAGCAAATCACTGAAGGATATTTAAATTTTGATTAACTGGATTTTGAAGGGGAAAGAAATGTGTTGGTTCAATGACAGACTCAAGACAATCGTTACAACGAAGCTACCATTGTTAATCAACGATACTGCAATGAAAAATAAAGACAGCTCTTCCACTTACAATAGTGTACATGTAAAGGAAGGTTCAAAATAACAGTAACGAGGCGGGGCGTATAGCTCAGTGGGTAGAGTGTGTGCCTAGCATGCATAAGGTCCT